CATTGTGCCACTAGTTTTACCTCTGAAGCTAAAAAAAAAAAAGCAATTCAACCTGTTACGTGTCAAACAGATTGAAGAAAAAACATTGGCTTGTGAGGTCCTTAAGGAACATTTCCAAAAAAGAGTCAATGGCAAAATCTACGGGGAAAGCTGAACAGAATGCTATTGGAACAGATGAGCATTGTTTTTGGAATTTATTGAGAGTGAGATATACATCTCAATCTGAAGAAAATGAATGATACCTTCATTTATAACCTTCTAATTTAGTTTGTTCCACAGCCAAACCAAATTTTAAATGATCGCCATGATAGTTCTGGCAACAAACAGATTAGATCTTGGTAAGCTGAAAATGAGTTCCACCAGCAAATAAGACATCAATCTGAAAAATCTTATCCATATTTCTGATCATTCTTCTACCGCTAACCATACTCCCTACAGAACAATTGCACATCTCAAAATCATCAACATATACAGTTCATTAATCAATTCTACAACTTGATCTGTGGGTCTTCACAAGAGAGTTTGTTTTCAAAGGCAACAGATATCCTGACCAAAGACTACTAACATACAACATGATAATTGTGCGCAACAAAATAATTGAGGTTAATGTCATTCCAGCAGCTTCGAAGTTTGAAATATCTATACCTCAATCAGGAGAGATCACATAGGGCCAATCACAGCTCGAATTCCCTGCAGTAAAATCATATTTGATCAGCAAACAAAGAGAATAAGAAATACAACAAAGCATGGTATAGTTCCATCACAACCATCGACATACACAATAAATTGAACCAACATGTGGTTAAGTAAAAATATTTCCACAGAGAGCAGCTCCAGAATTCTTTCTCCCAAAAATCCAGCATGTGCAGGTTCACACTCATTTCAATCCTGTATATCACAAACTATCATATTATCTAAGTTCTTTAGTAGCCAAATAATATATGGGTTCCTCCAAGTATTATCTAGAAGACATCTCTCTTGAGAAGAAAGGAAAACTAAACAATCTTGGCCCACGAATATTAGGAAGCATGATACAAGCAAATGAGCCATTTTTGTTAGATGTAATGGAGTTTGATTGAAAAGGTAATCTGAAAATAAGGATTTAAAAGCTCATCCAGGGGATAATTGAAAGATTGTGTCTTAAGCATACCTATTTCACTTTCTCTTTTCAGCTTTAAGAAAAAAACAAAACAAAACAAAAACAAAGAACGTTAGTTATAGCTTCACTTGGAAGCACAATAACCACAAAACTTTGATGAATTGTAATGGGTGACGCTAGGGATTTTAGTGAATCATATCACAAAACCTACTACGAAATCTATTTCACATTATGGAGAATTAGGAAGAAAAATTACATTTTAAAAAAAAGTATGTCTGTTTTAACAAGCAAGGAACCTGTTCCCACCCATGTACAAGAAAAGAGTTCACAGATCAGTCAATTTACGATTAGGTCCCCTCTACCCTCCTTAGAAGTAAGAGGATGACCCTTCGAAGAACACATGTTATGCTACAGATACAGACTATTAGCAGTCCATTGTGCTTGATACAATGTTCCGTAGTAATTTTGGGAAAGATCTAGGCAAGAACACAAAATGTATTTCTCATTCTACCTGATCCAACAAAATAAACTGAACTTTTTTTGTCAGTTAAATAAATTAGTAGTAAATTTGATACCAAGAAGAATTAAATACGATCAGATATCTGACCTCCTGAAATTCTTAAAATTGTGTAGTAATTTACATCTCAAACCAATCAGGATGACAACAGGAGTCTGCAACATGGAACAGAAATAGCTGTTCCAGCCACAGTTCATAAAGAGAATACTAGAAGTTCAGAGATAGAAAATAAGTTAAATACCAAATTTCAATATAAGAACAAAAGCATTAGTATAAAAGCATTTGTGGAGTCTCAAACCTGATATAACTGCAACTTTCCCATATGTTGTAGCAGAAATCAGCTCTTATCACAACTTGTACCATGCTTGCCAAGAAAAGGAGACTGGTGCCACTTAGTAGTATAAAAATATTTGTAGAGTCTCAAAACTGATATAACTGCAACTTTCCCATATGTTGTCGCAGAAAATCAGCTCTTACCACAACTTTTACTTCCATGGGCTGCTCCAGTAACAAAGATAAGTTAACAACCTTAGGAAATCAGCCTAGGTACCAAATCCAGGAACAGTTTCCACATGACCCTCAATTAACTCCATCACCTTTTCTGCTATCACAACCACACCTTGAAAAAACTTAAAAATGAAATCTGAACTCCCCTGACTAGTTCACAGTAAAGCCAAAAGTTCAACCCTGGCTAGTTCATATCAGGGACCAACAGAATAAGCAACTGCACTTTCTAGATTCACTCTTAAACTTCAGCTACCATATCTAGCCTTTGCCCCCTCCGCCCTGACAAAAGGAAGTAACAGGGAAAAAATCAAGTCAACTATGGTTAAGGACACATGATATCTAAAGGAAGAGGAAAGGTGAATCAAATTTCTTTTTAAAATATATGTGAATGGCTGCTGTGATAGTTTAGATTTTTTAATAAGCCAAATCAATGTTCTCTTTTTTAAGCAGGAAAAACAACTTACTTCGTAAATTGGAAATAATGTTATGCTAAAAGCTACGGTTAAATTAGCTTAATGGGTTAGAGCTTATAATCTAAAGGAAAAAAGCTTAGATGTGAGGAACTTATTTTTGGGGCTAATTTTTTCAGATTATTATACTTATCATTTTAGGTCAAACATACCTCAGAGATGCTATTCCCCATATAACTTAAAAGAACAACAGGAAGAGACTTCAAGAATGGCTAAAATGTTTGAAAAAAAAAATCCAAAAGAATCACATACATTATCCTTGTAATTTGTAACGGCTACAAAATTGCTGGTATGGGCTAAAACGTTCTTGCCATAAGGAGAAATGTTTCTTGAATGTATTATATACTTTCTGTTCCTGTGACTCAAAGTTCATAACTTGTGTATTAAATTTCAATTCTGTGGGGCATAAATCATCAAACTGTTCTAGTCCAATATTTTGCATGATGTCACTAGGAAGAGACTCTTTCTTATGCACTTTAGTAACCAAAGTAGCAAATTTCTTGTCTTCATCAAAATGGTTACCCTGAGAATTAATAACAGTAGAGACCTCACACAAAGCTGGATGATATGAAATGAAAGATTTTGGGTTTTGAGAGTCAATCCACATCTCTTCGCTGTCTGCCGCAAGGGAGACAGTTTGATCATCATGAAGCTCAGAATCATACTCCAGCACAGCCACTTCCCTAGCCACCTGCAAGACTTCATTAAATTGATGGCTAAACTCCAATTCCGCTGAAAAATCATCTTCCTTTTGTGAATGTAGACAACCATTGCGAAATTCGTGAAGTGTAAGCAGAACAGGCAGTGGGAGAACAGGGCCAACAAGTTCATTACTCCGCTGCACTTTATGCGTCCACTTGCTACTACGACATTCAGGCTTCCTCAGGATGAAAGGAGGCAACTGGGGTAGGTCTGGAACAATTGAAAATTCCAAAGAGGTTCTCTTTTTGTCCAACAATACCTCTAGAAATTCGGAGTGGCTGGAAAAGGCAAGAAGTAGAAGTTCTAAGGGAAAGCTCGCCCATGTTTGCCTCAAAGCAATCTCGAATAAGCTTGTTGGCAAGCTGACGTCATTGAAAACAGAAGCAAGAGAAGATCTAAATCTACCAAACCCACAAAGTCTCAGTTTCTCACATAAAATTTTATGGAAGTCTTCATTGAACAATTCATTCTCTTCTCGAACTGGGAAAGACTTCTTTATTCTTGAATCCATGACTTCAGTAAGATCTCTGTTCAAATATGCATGAAGATAATTAAGTCTCAGATACTTGAATCTTTTGGGAAATTTGTATTCCTCATCAACTGCAGAGTATGATAAGCAATCCCGAAAACCCAATGATAAATCTCCATGAGCTATATCTAGTTCTTTTACCAAATTCCAAGAGGCGCAAAAATTCTGAGCCTCAATCTTCCCCGAGGACATTAACCTGATCAGAGTAAAACCACCAAATTCAAATAACTCGGGAAGAAGAACAGAGAGGTCCTTGTTTAAAATCCCAAATCCCAGCACTATCTCTTTTATCTGCTGCCAATTA